GCAATGGTGAGTTGACTGTCGAATGCGGACGTTTGCATGCACTTGCCGCTGTGACTGCGTCATTTCGATTGTCGAAACGCGCCGACGCCATCGGAATACAAGGCCAACTGGGGCAAATCTTGACGATAGAGTTGGCCGCTACAACGAGTGTGGGCGAGCTTCGACACCAGAACCCCCTGGAAGTCGCTCTGTACGGAATGGGGGCTGCATGCCTCGCGTTCGAAAGGAGAGAGATGAAAACCTCGATCAGTAAGATTGGATTGAGGATGGCGAACGAGCGATGGTCATAGCACCGGCCAGGAAATTCATTGTGTCGTCGAGTCCAGCCCATCGTGGCTGCACCTAACGATGGCTTCTGCAATCGGCATTATCCCTTTGCGATCCACTGTCGCAGCGTTTCTACACTAGCTCGAGGCTGCGCTTGGTGCGATCCCACTCATACATGTCGATGCGACCCGAGAAGGAACTGGCGAGAATGCGGGTCCTTTGATCATCCTTTGAGGCTGGCTCGACGCACGCAAGACTTGTAAACATTCCTATCCACAGCTCACGTTCGAACCACAATACGTGGAGAATCGGAGCTACTGTTCGTACCAGCCCCGCCATCTTGAGTAGAGGCCAAGAGCTCGCCCGTCATTGTGTTCCACACTCGCACGGAGCTGTCCTTGGACGCTGTAATGCCTTCGTCAGCGCTACAAAGCGTCGGATGAGGAGACGTGCCTGCAGTGACACGCCTTGCTTCCATTGAACGCACTGATGCGGAAGAAAAGCGCACGCGGTGGCATCCTGCGAGTGCCCGGTCATTTCGACCACCTGCTTGCCGGTCCGTCGGTCCCACACGCGGCCTTCGCACCCCACAGCGTTGAATCCCTTGCTGGATGTGAAGACGTAGTGGCCATCCAGCGAGCACGCCATTGCAAGAGGAAAATACACGTAGCCTTCGATCGTTTGAGCGGGCGTTTTCCACGTCCGGGCGTCCCAAAAGCGTAGTCGGAGGTCTTCGCCGCCCTGAGCGACAACTTGTGCTTCGGTGGGCACCCACGCCATGCACGTCACGATGTTTTGAGAGGTGGATGTGTGCTGCATCTGAGTGGCGGTCGCTGCGTCCCATAAAATCACGCTGGTGTCGCGACTACCAGACGCGAGCCTGGTTTCCGTTGCTGGGAATGACGATGAGAGGACACCAATGCAGTCGTCGAAAGAAACGTACGGTCAAGAGCCAAGGCAGACACAGTGAGCGAGTGGCCTGCAAACGTTGTCGGCGCTGCTGTGCTCAAGGTGTCGATGAGACTGTGACGGACTATCGTGGTATCCCGGGAGCAAGAGTACAAGCTACAACGAGAAGATTCATCACGATGTGGAGCTCTAGGCAGCGCCATGTAGCTGGCTATCTCACCTGGACGAACGAGCTCCGACAACCATCCGATTCACGCTGCGGGAATGGGCACTCCAGCTGCGCACAACACATCTCGCGTTGAAGTCGATCAGCTTGATGGTGCCGTCGTCCCACCCGGATGCGCAGACGTTGCCAGTTGTGGTCACCACACAGCTAACCTGTGTGAGATGAGCGACATCGGCTAGACGTCATGATGTACTGGGGTGTTGCTGTCATGCAGGTAAATGTTGCCGTCACGCTCTGTTGCAGGCAATGTGGCGTCGGTGGATCGTCCCTCTGTGGCCGCGGCGTCAGGATCCCCTGCCGCCCATGTGTCCATGCGGCGAGGCCCAGACTTGGACGTGCATGCTCCCATGCTGCAAGACGAAACGACTTTGAAACGTTGGTTCTATTACACTCTACAGCTCTTTCCACTCGGCATTTGCAGCAGAGTCCTTGGCAGACGACTCGTCCGTCGTGCGGATGGCTTGCTTGAGTTTGCCATCTTTGCTGCACGATAGAGCACGGCGATGAGATGGACAGTCGAATTGAATGTCGTGCACACCCACCTCGAATTGGCCAAAACTAGGTAGTTACTCAACCCACGCACGGCGTTCGCTTTGAGGTTTTCAATCTTGAGCTCATCCGTCTCGTTCATTGACTTTCGGAATTCCGCGCGAAGCATGCTTCGAATCGCATAACCCTTCTTCGTCTGGGGGAATCGTTCAAGCACGCCCACTTAAGCAATCAGCACGTACCTTGCCTCCGATGTGGTTGGCCAAGCGCAAGCAATCGCGGTAGAGCTACATGCGGAAGATTGATGCTCCTTGAACAACACAGGTGGTGCATGATACCTGCAGAGACGTCCGCGAGACCTGAGGAATGCCGCTCATGGTGGTGATATGAAGGCAGGATGAGTTACTGGAGGATATCAAGATAATCGCCATGAAGATGATTGGATAAAATATTCTACGTATAACCAATGGTGCTGTTTCAAGGCCTATTTTTCGAAACTTCATCCAATAAAAAGACATTAATTGGTAAATTATTAGCCAATTGCATTGCACAGTAACATCATTTTTTCCGGTTAATTTATTATTATGCGCATATCCGTCGTTGTGGGTCTGTCCGTCCGTCGGAGGTAGCCTGCATGATGGAAGTGGACGACGCGGTGTACACCACGGAGTACGACGTAGTGGTCGTGGGGACTGGCATCGTGGAGTCCATTGTGGCCGCGTATGTGTTGATGTTCATGGAGGTTTCTCGGTGAAATCGTATGGCTGTAGGTCGCTTGCCCGCGCGGGTCAAAAGATTTTGCACCTTGACACGGTACGCCCGCCGGGGTTCGAAGTCCTGTCACGCCCCGTCCTCATGCGCCTTGTGTAGAACGAGTACTATGGATCCGACTTTGCATCGTTGCCATTGCACCAGTTTGAAGAGTGGATGACAGCGCCAGTTCAAGAGGTCGCGCAACGTCCTCATGCGTTCTCGTTGACGAACGCGTTTCGCTGCACCCTCCTGCATCATGCCAAAGACGAATCTTTCACCCCTCGATCGTCGTCGTTCAACTTGGACATCCAGCCAAAGATGCTTCTGTCGAACAGTCCCCTCGTCGATGTCCTCGTTCACTCTGGTGTTGGACGGTACCTCGACTTCATGGCGATGCAAGGCACATTCATGTACTCTGCCCAGCCTCAAAGTACGTGCCCTCCATCTCGATTTTGGTTTTCATCATCTCCACGCATCAGACAAGAACCCACCGATTTGGGAAGTGCCTTGCTCGAAGACAGAAGTGTTCAAGAGCAAGCTCAACGTGTTGGAGAAGCGGCACCTGATGAAGTTTCTTCAATTTGTCGCTGACTACGGTAAAATGACCCGACTGTTCGCTATGTCTTCTTCTTCGAGTCATCCCGTGACATCGATCGTGCTTTGATCTAGGGGAAGTAGACGTGACGACCCTTAATGAACGCGACCTCACGTCTAGCCGAGCGCTAAAGCGTCCACAAAACAAGCAGCACGACGTCGCAACTGCGTCCTTTGACCAGTACGAATCGTTCACGGATGTGTTAGCCAAGCACTTCAAGCTGTCCGCGGCGCTCCAACAAGTCGTGCTGTACGCTGTGTTGCTCGAGACATCGGCTTCCCCTGTGGTTCCGCTGTCGACGCCGAACAGCCTCAACGCTATCTACAACTTTGTCACGTCGATCGGCAAGTTCGCTCCGTCGCCGTATCTCACTCCCATGTACGGCATCTCGGAAGTCGCCCAGAGCTTCTGTCGACTTGGCGCCGTCTACAATGGCACATATATTTTGAGGACGCCAGTGGCGCACTTGAACATCCAGGACACGACAGACGAATGCGGTGGGGCCGTCAAGTGCGTGGGACTGTCCACGGCGGAAGGCCTATCCTTTCGAGCGAAACACGTTGTGCTCAACGCGTCAGCACACGGTCATTCTTTGGGGTACGTCGTGGAATTGGTAGCCGTTGTCGCCCAAGTCGTTTTCACATTTGATTGCTGTGCTCAGGTACACGCCACAATCTGCGGTCCTTCGAGGCATCTTCATCGTCGGCTCGTCCATTCAGCCAGGTGTAGATCGGTTGGTGGTGGTGATTCCTCCAGGAGAAATCGCCCATCCAAACGAGGCGCTGTCGACGTCCGCGGTGCATGTCCTCCAAATGGACTCGGCCATGGGCGTGTGCGCCTCGGGCTATTTCCTTGTACGTCGTGTCACGCCTAACCTAAACTGAGGGCAATCGCCATGGCGGCTCACCCTTTGCGATAGATTCACGTAACGACAGTGGTGCCGCTTGCTACACCCAATCAAGACTTGGTGTCGTATATGGAATCGATCGCCGCGTGCCTGGGACAAATCAAGGCCGTGTGGAGCTCCATCTTTACCATTCCGGTCGTGGCGAAGATTGCATCTGGCCAAGGTGCCAACGTCGCCAACGTATTTGTCTGCCCGTCGCCTCCAACGCTGGACACAACGTTGGCAGAATGCGTGGACGCTGCCCGCGCGGTTTTCCGCGCCATGTGTCCCGATGAAAGCGTTGCATTTCTGCCCAAGTCTGCGTCCGAACAAGCGATGCAAGACGACTGCCACGAGGACTCGGACGTGGCGCTCTTGGACCAAGCCGTGCAGCTGCTTCAAACGGCCGAAAGCGGTGGCGTGGAAGCCCGGGCAACGACGACAGAAACCGAACAAGACCTCGCATCGATGGCCGCGATCAACGCCGACGAACCGCCTCGTTCACCGCCCTTACACAATGCTGCCACCGAATACAAATATTCATTTGACCTTTAAGATTTATCGCTGTTTACACACTGCCCGACCAAAGATATGGGTCGCTCAGCACGAGCTCCACATCGTGCGGATCGATGTCGCACAGCCAGTCCGAGGCCCACATCGCGTGATGCCATGACATTGGCTCAGCGCTTGACCTTGGAGACTCGCACTTTGGCTCGACGGTTTGCGGCGTCTCGGCTTCCTCCTTCACATGGCATTCTGCATGGATTTGAATGGCAGGGGAGCGAGGACTTGCCGGCAATTGGGATTCTGGACAACTTGCATCGCGGACAGTGTTCAGCGTCGTCACGAGGCTATCTAGATCTTCCGCCGACGTTAAGAACCCATGGGACGCGGCCGGAAGAAAGGATGCATCCGATACTTCTACGCTGCAGTCGACGAGCGGCGTTGCGTTGACCTGGCCTGCGTCCAGTAGCGATGCCTTGACTCTGCGCTTGATCCTGTGCAGGTCCGCCGGGTTGTCGCGGGAAAAGTAGAGCTGGCTGTACGTACAAATGGCCGCCTTTTGCTTGGGCCACTTGCGGAAGCCAAAGTAATTGAGTTGGCGCTGGAACGACGCGTACTTGGTGTGGCGAAAGTACCTGTGGAGGATTCGGTTCGCCAGCATGCGCTGGTCCAGGATTTCAAACGCTTGGCCGTCCGGCGTCCATCGAATGATGGATGCGTCTTCCACCTGAAGCATGGTGTGCAAGCTTTGCACGAAGCTCGGGACAGCATCTGCAGTGGGGGCAACAGGATGGGGCGACGTCGGCTGCTCCAAAGCCATACCAGTTGGGATGTGACGACCCGTTCCCGGGCCGAGTGGCCACCCGGTCTCTGCGTCACTCGGCCGTTGACTCACTTTTTATGACAGGCCAGGACAACGCACAATTGAAATTCCAATCTTGCCGTTGACTGAGCCATGTGCCACCGCTGTCGCAGGTGCCGATTTGAGTTTGTACTGCATCTCAACAGGCAACCTAGCCTCGGAGATACGAGGGCACGAGGGGGTGCGTTCTTGTCGTCGAGAATTCTATGTACAACACGGCGATTGCTCCACGGGACTTAGAGCACGAGCTCAAGTCGGCATTGCGCCACCGTGCTGCGGTATCACAAAGGGGACGTTGGCATGCGATGGTGGACGTCATCGTCGGGTTCACCGGCCGAAATGTAATTTTATTTTAAGTTATCGACATGGGAAAAGCAAAAATAGGAGGAAAATTGTAGTACTTTGACGTCGAACAAGATGTTTTGGAGTTTGTATGTACTCGGCTCATTTTATTCTGTGAACATATTTTATCGCCCCATTTTTCCACTCGAAATCGAAAGTCCTTAAAACGGTCCCAAACCACCGCCTGATGCGTGTGGTAAGTAGATCCTCATGATCATGTCCCATTGAGATGGAGCTCAGCCACCACAGGGACGCCCTGTTGCAACGCTCCAGAGAGTTGATGGTGTAAGCAAAGCACCGGTAGACCTCGACGCGGGGGTGGAGGAGGTGGAGATTATGTATTTGTGGTCGTCGTAGAGAATTAGAAGAGACGTGTACAGACAATGCAAACGTAGAGTGCAGGCAATGCACGTTGCATGGGATTGAGTTATAATAAGATTCACGCGCCAACGCCGTGGAGGGAGCGGTGGTTAGCCCATAAAATTGACGACGACAAGGAACAAGAGAAGCGAGCAAAAGAGAAAGTCGGCGAACGCTCGCTCGGGGGTTCGCGGGTTTGCGGCAAAAGCGTCAACATTGAGTGGGTTGATTTGCATTCGCAGCGACACGGCAAACACAAACACCCCGACGGTAGCAAGGAACCCCGACAAGAACGAGTTGAACGGATATGTGCCGAACACCACGCAATACACGAACTGAAGCACCCCTGTAGCCAGAACGTAAGCAAGGAAGCCATCGATCAGCTTCATCTTGCGCGTCGAGTTCTTGTTGTATTGCGACCATAGCTCCGCGACGATCGACTTGTCTGGACTTGGTGACGGGGCCGCCGCTGCCTTGGCCGATTTGGCCTTCGCCATTTTTTGTGGTTTTGTAAAATGATAAAATATTGGAGGTCCTGTCGAAATCCCATGTTGTGTTATTTTTTCTCGTCGTCGAGTTGACAAAACCCGCCACGTTGTCTATACGACCACATCTCGCGTGTACGATTAGTGCGCATAACAAGTGCAGACTGGCTCGTGGCCAACGAATTCTTGGCGCCGATGGGGCGCCTGCCAGGTACATGAGCCTCTGAGCATGCCATTGCCTTCGCGGGATGTGTGTGACCCAAGTCAAATTCACCCTAGATGGCCAGTTGGTGCTTAAGTTTGAGATGGTTGCAAGGATAGCTGATTCAGCTATCTTTCCAGCCATCCACGTGCTGCACTTCCTTCCGCTGCTCCTCACCCACGGCACATTAAACAATCTGAGTGTCCATGTCGAGTGTCGGCCAGCAGCAGTCCTAGTGGCGATTGGGCCGCCTTGTCGTGAAGCTTGCTGCCGTAGGTGACGGTGCTCATGGCAGCATATACATACTTCTACTCGAAGCCTTTGGGAAAATGGGTCTGATTGTTGAGATTCGACGACGTCAACATCGCAACGGTCAAGATCGAATCAACCCTGCCTGACGAAGAGACGAAGAGTTCAATTTGGACGATATTGAACCAAGAGACGACAGGACGAGGAACTGTAGGAAAGGATATCGATTAGCAGACACAACTCCTCTAATCACTTTTGTTTTCGCCTTCTTGGACTCTGGTCGCTCGCTTACGCTAGCCGCTGTTCTCCTCGCTGCCTAAGACAAACACACGTCTGTTCAAGAGGTTCTGAGCCCAAACACGCAACAGCAACAAGAATCCCCCCAACGATGGCTAACCGCAACGACTACTATCAAGGTCACGGAGCACAACTACCGAAGCTGGAAGACTTACTTCAAGGGGAGATTGATGGCCAAGGGCTTCCCCCACGCCTTCGCCTCTGGAGTCGTGGACCAAGCGGAAATTGAAAAGGCGCTCGGGATCCTAATCGAAACGTTAGACCCAAACCAATACCGTCACGTTCAAGACACCTACGAGGCCCGGACGGCGTATGGTCGCTTGAAGCAGTACCACCAGCCTACGACCAACATTGACCGTGTCAAAGTCAGTCGCGACTGGGCCAAACTCAACTGGAACCCATGCGAAAAAGTTACCCGACTTCATCCAACGCTTCCAAGAGATGATCCCTCATATGTCGGAAGTCGGCAACACAGAGTCGAAGGAACAACGCGTCATCGAACTCCTGACACTCATGCCCTGAGGATTTCGTCCTATCGTCGACCGCCTCCTCAACGGCGCGACCCAACCTACTATGATGGAAGTCAAGACCCAGCTGGAGTCAGAGTGGAAGGCCGCTATCAAGAGCGGCGCAATCAAATCCCCCAACCGAAACGCAAACGAAGAACTCGCCTTGATGGCCCAAGGCGCCAACAGCGACGGCCGAGCCGACCGCAACAGTCGCGGTGGCGGCAGAGGCCGCAATGACCGCGGACACACGGTGTAACAGTTCTGCTTGACCTTCGGGTCGCTTCATCCACCTCGAGACCGCTTGCACTGCCTCGAACGGCTCAGGCGTTTCCGCCTCTTCCTCGCCAGTCAAGTCGACGAGAAGCACTTCGCCTTCTTCACCATCGGGGGCGATCTCGTCCGCCTTGCGCTTGTTTGCGTCTCCAAACATGTTGATGGTCGAACCCATCAAGTCACGCGCGTCCATCACAAACTCTCCAAGATACGACTCCCGTTGGTTTCGTTTTGAGTGGGGGAGGGTGTAACAGTTCTACGGTACTGTTATCCGTACACATGTCAAAGATCTTCATTGACATTGAAGATCTCCATCCAAAGGTTGCAGGCGACCTCACAACAAGTCGCCTGGGTTGCTAGCGACTCTCCCCACGAGTCGCCTTAACTTTCCATATTCATGTAGCAGAGCTAGATAGCATAACCCTGCCAATTCATTCTTCATTTTACCTACTCCTTCCTCTGCGCGTGCCCGGTCACAACACGGGTGGCAAGCCCGACAAAATCACCGGGACTTGCCACTACTGCGGCAAGGAAGGCCACTGGCAGTCCAAGTGCCGCAAGAAGGCCCGCGAGGAAGGAAGACCCGAAACCGCTGGCAGACGAACCAACAGCGGACAGCGCAACGCACGCGGCACCGACGGTGATCAAGCGTCGTCCAACGCCGTCTTCATGTTCTCGGCAATCGAAGTCGCACCTATCATGGTGGACGACGAAGTCAACGATTATCTGCAAGCCGACTTAACCTGGGACTGGGATGTTCGCCCGATCCGACAAGTCTCGCTCCATGGCGAGGTCCTCACGGTGACCTTTCACTTGGAAATCGTATGCCTCCGTCGCTTCATCGACGACAATGACCCGACCGTGCCGAACCGGATGATCCATCCGTTCCTAGTCACGAACTACGACATCAGAGCGTCCCGTCACCGAGATCTGTTCGACCAAGCCAATGACGCACACAACCGTCCATGGCTGCCGCCCAACGCGTACATATCGTCGCTGGCAACGCCCCGGAAACAAGCGCAATGGATTCAGGAGAGGGGTTTACCCCGAGAACCCCCCACCGAGCACAATAAAATTAGCGACATACTACAACGCATAATTCCAATTATACTACCACAATTTCCGGGCGAGGAAGAGTCTTCTCGAATGCTTTTATAATGCAGTCTTAGGTAATATGTCCCACGCCTTGATGGAGCGATTCATCATTGCCGGGCGCTTTTCAGCAGCTATAATAACAGGCTCCTCTTCAAGCCATAACATTCTCATTATGCGTTTGAACGCACCAATAACTCTGACAACGAGAGGTTGGCAGACGCTTGTGCAGTTGGGCGACAGTGGCTCCAACACGCTGAACACCTCTGCTACAGCTTGGATTCACTCAGGGGTAACCAATAGGACTCTTTGTCCCACGATGTGCGATGGGAGAATATCGAGGTATGTACGCCAAACACGCCCATCCATCCAACTCTTTTCTTGGACCTCGTAAAATGGCCATCTGGATAGTTGACAGGTCCTTCGTTTCGATTGTCCCGCCAGGAACTCGATGCACCACGAACAGAATTTGAAGATTGCTACCTAGACATCACAGCGAGTGGATGATGCAACTTGTGTCGTACCGTCCGCACGACTAGTAAGGAGGGCTGTGATCTACTATGATGGAAGTCAAGACCCAGCTGGAGTCAGAGTGGAAGGCCGCTATCAAGAGCGGCGCAATCAAATCCCCCAAGCGAAACGCAAACGAAGAACTCGCCTTGATGGCCCAAGGCGCCAACAGCGACGGCCGAGCCGACCGCAACAGTCGCGGTGGCGGCAGAGGCCGCAA